TCTGAGGTTTTAGGGGCGAAGCTCCTTAAGGCGTGGGCTGTGCGTCCCCTGTATGTAGCTACCTCTCGTTTAGTTCTTGCAGTGTCCACTAGATGGCGGTACCGTCTCCTGTATGTCGCCTTCTCTCGTTTAGTTCTTGCAGTGTTCACTAGACGGCGGCACCGTCTCCTGCATGTAGCCACCTCTCGTTTAGTTCTTTCAGTGCTTACTAGATGGCGGGACTTGTAGCTGATGATGAAAAGATGCAAGATGTTATAAACTAGACGGCGGTACTTGTAGTTGATGATGAAAGATGCGAGATGTTATAAAATAGGAATGATGTCACGTATGGCACGTGTCATTGGTGGAAGGCAATCGTTCGATTTAGTGCGGCGACGTACGCTAGGGGGAGAATTGTAATAAAATCGAGTAGGCAAAATGTACGGAAGATTCATGGTTTACCAGGTTTTCCTCCAGAGCTTCGCCCACTCATCATCATTCACTTCGTGGATATGGCGGCACTTTTTAGGGGTACTTTAAGTGGCAATTAACGCACCCGGCCAAATGACATTTAACAGTTTGCTCGCGAAAAGCCATAGAACGCTCTTATCACGGCGCCCATAACCACGCCAACAGGCATGTCACGTGGTATGTCATTGTATTTCGCGGGCATCTGTAACGAGCAGGAAAACACTAACACCTGTTCCATAAACAAAAACTGAATAATCACAAGTTTTGTGATACAATATCATAGGAATTATCCCCAACTTCGCTGCTTCAAAAGCTGGTTAACTAATCTTGATTAATTAAACAGCAAGCAAAAACAGTAACTTACTCTAATAGCTAGCAACACGCATCTCGCCGCGCCAAAGAGGGCGTCGGCATATATTAAACTCCGGGAGGAGTTAGCGCGGACATTCTTTGTAAATACACACGTACACTCACACAAACGTATACATAAATTAAATCTAAATAGTATAGCCCCCCCCCCCTCCCCCCCGCAGGTCTTCTGACTGCACCACTGCATGCAAGATATAACGTAGGTGCAAACGTCTGAACGTCGAAGACTACTTACGACAACGCCACGACAGTGGCGCCAGCGGGCGTCGAGTTTTCAACACGTGTGCCTGTTGCGCCTCGTAATATTCCCTTTGCCACCACAAGGCGGCTAAATGCGAGGTCTCGTTCCGCGTTCAAGCTGGTTCTGCTGAAGGTGTACTTCTTTCAAGACCAAGCAGGTGTTATCATAGCGTGAATCGAGTCTTTATAATGTCTAGAACAAGGGTGTAGCCACAATACTTTTTATGAGGGGAGGCAGAGGGAAGGTTAAGCCACTCTTTATCTATCTTCGTGCATGCGTTTTGTACGAGTGTGGATGCATATGTACACATGCAGAGTTTTCATGGGTATGATTTTATAGCGGGAACCCAATCCTCGTTTCTTTGCTTTTTGCTAGAAAAGTGCTCGATAAGTCAGTATATTCTCGTCACTATACATGTGGTCGTAGTGAAACAGATTTATTAGACAGCCGGTATAGCCGCTGGTAACAGTGAGAATGGCTACCACCCACTAACAACACACTTCTGCTCGTCTAAGAGCAAACTCAGTTAAAACTAATTCAATTTCATTTTGCTAATTAATATTGACGTTGAAACAGAAAGACAGTATAAAAAATTTAGTATTTGAACATGCGTTCTCCCATTACACGCACACGCACACGCACACACACACACACGCACACACACACACACACACACACACACACACACACACACACACACACACACACACACACACACACACACACACACACACACACACACACACACACACACACACACACACACACACTGCTCATTCACTGGCTTAATAAAATTGCAACGGAATCTTGCAATAGAGTCCCGTCGTTGCGAAATATTGACCCAAGGTGCAAAAGATGTACCAAGCTACCCAAATAAGCACCCTACTGAATAAGGAATCTGTACAGGAGCTCCAAAAGTAAAACGGAGCACGTGAGCTGCAGCTGAGCGGCACAACGTGGCGGCTGGGTCGAAAGAAAGACGGTCCTGGCGAAAGTCGCTGCATCTTTGGCGATGAAGAAAGCGCGTGCCTATTTTTATACAACGCGGGCAAACAAATGCAGAAAGCGTAGCAGCGTGGCTTCGCTCACGGTGGCGATAAGCCGGGCATCAGAATGTCGAGATTGGGTCGGCAGGGTATGCCGACGCACTCTCGCCATCCGCAGCGCATCTTCGGATACAGGGCGCTGGCACGCATTATCGCCCCGTTCGGCCACAGCTCGCGTGCTCCGTTTACTTTCGGAGCGCCCGCACATATCAACATCGAACGCATTGACTTCCGGTGATGGCGCGACTCTTGGCTCAGTTCCTTTTCCTGTCACAAGACGGAAAAGGTCCTCATCGCCTACAATCCGCCATAGACGACTTTCAGTGTGTCGAAGTAGTTGTAGAGAAGCGTCTGGCTGGCTTCCGTCGGTGGCAGCTGATATTTTGCCACATGGGCTCCTTTCTTTGGGTTTTTGTGTTAACGGCCTATCACACGGATAACTGCTGCTTTTCGCGAACTGCGCCCGGATGACTGTGAACCATCTCCATAATCTTACAACCTTACGAATCTAATCACGTGCACAACGTGGACATAAGAAAATAGTTTAATCCGGAACTATAATGCTCGAATCTTCGATGAAATACGTATAAGTGCCGATGCGCTTCACCACTTGACAGTTTATGGATGCCCTCTTCGCCGCTACGATGCAGTGTACAGCGTGTGTTGCTTGCTTTAGTTTGAGTTTCCGTTTCTCGGCCGTAAGCTCGGCTAAATTAGGACTTTCATCTTGGACATGCAGACTGCTACCTTCGTCAACGTCATGACCCCTTGAGAATATATGCGAATGGCAAAATTCGAATCGCAGAGCACCGTCGAAGGGTGATGGACAGTGCCGATGAACTTCATGAGCAATTACTGCAAGATTTCATAAATTGTTGCATACACAATTCGTTAAATTATGATTTTGCTCTGTTTTGAGTTGCAACTCAAAAGGACAAAGTGAGAGAGAAGGTCTGTTGGGAGTGACAGCGCGTTGCGTAAGGAGACATTCGCCCGGAAGTACCTCATTCTGTCCGACAATAACTGTTACTCCCTGAACGTCAATAAACTCACTAAATGTCTAGGTACCACGAAGCTAGGTGATACCATGACAGCGCTTCTCTGAAGGCCTGACCACACTTGCGCGCTGCAGCGCGTGGATTTCTGACACGGCATCGCTCCGTCTCCATGTGGAGAAATAGGACGCATTATTACGCGAAGATGCAGGCCCTCTCTCCTTACAGAGAGAGAGTGCGACACCGCGTCAAACAGCCACGCGCTGACGAGCTACGACGCGTACATGCGGTCGGGCCTTGACCCGGCGATAGGCGTGTCAGAGTGCGCAAGAGTTGAGCAATGGTATTAGCTGCGTCATAATTAGCTCGTCAAGGAGACAGTCATTGTAACAGGCAGAAAGGCATTGCCGGTATTGAAAGCAAGGGGTGACAAGAGGTGGTCGGCTTCTGACCGAATTGTGGTCGTGCGTTTGATCGCGGCTGGGGTGGTCGCACTTCAATGTAGTTGAAATGGTAGAGTCCCGTTAAAGAACACCAGATGGTCAAAATTTCCAAAATCATCCACCACGGCGTTCTTCACAATCATATCTTGGTTCTGGGACTTAAAACCCAAGAAATTATTATTAATAATTATAAGGGGTTACAAGAATCTTCACACGCGCTGAGGTCACGCCAACCTAAAAGTGTGGCAGCTTGGACTAGTTGATATGGCATGACGATTGTTATAGCGCGAGAACAGAACGACGTTCGTCTCCTTCTTGTCTCCGTGTCGTCGTTCTGTTCTCGCGCTGTAACTATCGTCATGCCAACCTAACCTTTCGCATCCGAAATCAAGTAACTGCAGTTAGCTCTTACTGCCGTATTTAAAAGGTCCTGTGGCCAAGAAGAGCATAGAAACATCATCCCACGAGCTGTCTAACTGTTGTCACTTCGACATAGAACAGAAAACAAACAAAGCATGCCCTTTAGCAAATATCAAAAACTAGCAATACTATGCTTTCCTGTAAAAGATGTGGATGTTAACGTCTTTTTTTGTGTGTGTGCATACCATCACTTCGCTCTCCGTGCGGTATACAAAGCTCTCCGTACAGCATTCGAAGTATAGGTGGTCGATGTTTCAAGCTTGAAGCTTATCGTAGACGTGGGTTTTTAGTTGGGTTTTTTCTACATTTTGCTGACCTTTGAATTCTTTTGGTATGTACCTCGCGTGATGTGCAGGCTTATGCGCCAACTTTACGAAAATCCCGCGCTTCCTGCTGCATCACATGCCCCGCCGCGGTGGTCTAGTGGCTAAGGTACTCGGCTGCTGATTCGCAGGTCGCGGGTTCGAATCCCGGTTGCGGCGGCTGCATTTCCGATGGAGGCGGAAATGTTGTAGGCCCGTGTGTTCTGATTTGGGTGCACGTTAAAGAACCCCAGGTGGTCGAAATTTCCGGAGCCCTCCACTACGGCGTCTCTCGTAATCATATGGCGGTTCTGGGACGTTAAACCCCACATATCAATCAATCAATCCTGCTGCATCACGTCCCGGCGGCCACCGAGCAGCGGGCCGTGGATTGATTCATCACAACCACCGCTGATATAGCGCTCGAATGTGGCATTTCACGCAGCAAGGCAAAGCGGCGCAAAACACGCCCGCGTGTATCACCCGCCTATTTTCCTTTTGCTTTCCGCTATCTACTTATCCTTCTCCCTCTTTTAAGACAAGTTCCGCCCAGCCTTACAAGCGGATCCGCAAACGCATTTCCGATGATAGCGCAAGGGCGGCAGCGCTTGCATGGAATGACAGCCTTCGATAAAGAAAGAAAGGTGTTTACGCATAGCGTCGCCTCGGAGTGCTTTGATCTGTGTGCTCTCCGCTGGCGGTGCCACATTGGAACAAGCCGCGGAATACAGCGGGCCTTTGCACTTCGTGTGGGGCCGTCCCGTATACGCGCAAGATGCGGTTTCTCTGTCTCGCGCTGTTCGCCCTGCTGGGCTTGGCCAACGCCAAGGTGTATGGCCGCTGCGAGCTTGCTTCGATTCTCGTGCGCAACGGGATCCCCAGAAGTAAAGTACCCGACTGTGAGTATTCGAAGACAGCTTGGCCAGATTTCGCCATTTTATAACCGAATCGAGCGTGATGGCACAGTAGCAGCGCAACCTTCCGCGTTCCAAGCAGGTAGAACTGTCACTGCATATGCAGGTGCTCTTTAGAACGGAGCACGCGAGCTGTGGCCAAGCTGCGCGAAAGGGACTATACCAGCACGCTCCAGCAGAGAAAAGTTAGTTTATTTTTATATGGATATGCGCCATAAGGTAGTTTCATCACTTTTTGTGAAAATAAAGAAATACTTCTCTGATGGAGCTCACTAGCATTAACTTTTGCATTTCCTTTTGGGGCACCTCGCTGTACCTGCAATTGTAGTCATTGGTTTTCGTGTCAAAGCCATGATATCGAATGTGTAGCTGTAGGTGATAGCGCCACACTTCTGCAACAATGACCGAAATACTACATTTGAAAATCGTGGCCTCAGAAATGCGTGTCGTTGGTGTCAAAAGTTCAGGGACTAATGGACCTCAGAAAAAACTTAATTTCCCCTCCATTCGCGAAGGTATTCACTGGAACTCCATGGTGCATGTTGTTAGCTGATGTTAGGAGTGGCTGAAATTCTATATTTAAAATCAAGGCTGCCGGGGCAGCTGAAGCAGCGGGAATAGCCAGCTTCTTGCGTGTGTGATCCGTAAGCTTTTTGGCGTTGACTGCACATAGACCACAACTGCTGCGATACAGCTTAGCAGCTAAGGTGTCGCGTCCGTAAGCTTAAAGAGGCGGGTACGATTCCCTAGCCGCTGTGGCCGCACTTCGAAGGTGACGAATAGCGACACAACCCTGTACTTGAATCCAGGCGAAGTTGAACAATCGTAGGTGTTCAGGCGGTCAAAATGAAATTGGTGTCCTTCCACGGTGGCGTGTCTCATTGGCATAGTGGCGATGATGGTCCGTTCGCGCACCCACTTGCACAACAGACATCACTATCGTCGAAGAGTGATTTTAAAATCTCCTATCGTGGCTCTGGCGTGTAAAATGTCATTTTTTCATCTCTTCACAACTTCTTTGAAAAAGGTCACTTTTTCCCTCTCTCTTCAACGAATACCAACATAAATGCATATATGTATAGATACACCTACCAATGTGTAACCATTACTCCATAAGCGGAACCTCAAAGTCTAACCAGCCGGAAGTAGAAGTCGGATTCTTATTCAGTGAGTTTTCTTTTTTTTTTCATTTATCTCAAGGGATCTGCTTGGCACAGGCGGAGAGTGCTTAAATTCCAAGGCTGTCAACAGGAACCGGAACCGTAGCATCGACTATGGCATTTTTCAGGTTTGTATCTCACATGTTCGCCACTTCACAAGTTTTACTTTGCCAAAGAAGGGTCATGCATTCAAGCCCCTAGTCACATGAACTCTTAGTGTTTCTACGTGCGAACGGTCAAAGAAGATCTCGATTTTGCTTACTTGGGAGGATGACTTGATTCTTGTTTGCCCATCTTGAAATGCATCATCAAACTGTTGGTAATGAGCCCGCTATGAAATGTTCAAGCATTTACACCACTTCAGCTTTTCAACAAACAACGCAGCAGCTTGCACGACGAGAAACAATGTTTGTTCATGTCTTGAAATCAGGTCTCCGTAAATGTACCAACACCGTTTATCTGCGTTTTTTTTTTTTCATTAGCACGCTTTTCGACTGGCCAACACGTTCTGTTACATGCAGTTCAAATTAGAAAATCGATATTGCCGCATGCTTAGCAGCTCTGCCTCTCCTTATTAAGAATATTTCTCAAAGTCTTCATATCACTAAAAGAGGTTTGTATATGCGAACGCCCGTACGCTAATGTGAGTCCCGCCTCTGGTCACATTTCAGATCAACAACGGCTATTGGTGTAGTCCGGGACGGCACAACGAATGCAAGGTCTCATGTTCCGGTACGCGCTGAACATTACTAAATACACGTATTATTCAATGCCAAACATATGGGCCTTTTCCTTGTTGCACAAGTGGTTCGTTAGTGCCATATTTAGAATATATCTGTCGTAAATACCGCCGTATAGAAAATTTTCTTATGTGCTTATAAGCCATTGTAACGCGACAGCTCGCTTCGCAGATGTCTTGGTGTCCACCGTGTCAGCGTCAGGGACGAAGCCCGGAGGAAGGGGGGGGGGGAGGGTAAGCTTTTTTTTTCTAAAAAAAATTTGACTTTGGGATGTGTATATAATCACGTGCGTTCATGAACGTTATTTTCATGTATTCAAGTTTCAGCCACAAAGACCTTTAGCTATACTCGGCGCATACCACGCGACATCGTTAGAGCAGCTTCGCGATAGTTTAAGATAAATCTGTTCATATTATGCACAGGATGCGAGTAGTCAGGCTCTTTCGAAAGCTTACGCGAGCACCATCAATAAGACTTGAATGCTTTATGCCGCATGCTGTTGCGTAGCGCCGGGCCTATCCCGCCGCTGACCTCCACTGTTGCGTAGCGCCGGGCCTATCCCGCCGCTGACCTCCACTGTTGAGAACGACGGACCGATCCCGCCGAAGCCACCACTGTTGCGAAAGACGGCGACGCCAACACGGCCCCGGAGGCGCCACTGCTTTCAACTCCGCCGGGAAGGTCACCAGCCGTTTGGTAGCGTATGTTTATCAGCTCGCGACTGCTTCTGCGCAGAGCTGATAAGACGAGCGGACGAGACGACGGTGAGTTAAACAAGGTTTATGTACAGCATATTTACAGAGGCGTTACAATTTCGGCACTGGGGCCGACAGAGACTCGAAGAGCCGAGCTCTTCTCCCTAACACATAGGTCAGTCTTTCACCTAAGACCGCTGACTCACACACATGTCGGCACTCCGACACGGGGACTCCTCTCCTAGGACCTCCGATCGCGCCGCGCCGCAGGGCTTCTTTTATTTACACCGGGTCCAACCAAAGTGTCCAATCAGAAGCGCCGCTGGTCGTCCGGGCAGATTCCGCCAATGGGGGTCGCCGCGCCATGCGTCAGACCACCAGGCACGAGAACGCCGGCTCGCTGTCACGTGCGCAACTGACTCACTGCACGTGGGCCAGAGGAGCGCCGCGCGTGTTCACGCCGTCGAGGTGATCGCGCCAGGCAGACTGCGGGCTGGCCTTGACCCAGATTGCCTTTTTCAGAGGCACGGTCGTTTGACGAGGACTCGCTGGCATAACAGCACCCCCGCCGCCAGACAATGCACCGGAAAGACGAGCTGCTTCCACGGGGCTCGGATGTCAGGTGCGCTCGTTCGCCAGGTCCCTCCAGGTTCGCCTCCAGGGCCATGGGGAGACTACAGCTCCAGACTGTTCCGGGAACACATCCCATTTTGACGACGGATCCCAGCTCCACGGGCTTGTCGCCACAACTTGCTGGCCAACTTCGCTCGTCTCTTCCGACCATCTTCGGTTTCAGCACTTGTCGATGGTTCTGCAACTTGCTAAGAACGGTTCGACAACAGACAACACACGACACAAGCAAGTGCCCTCGGTCACCCAACAGAACACCAGACAAAGTATAGAACAACAAATACCTATCTACGTGTCTATCGGAATTTCGTTCCCTCTACATCAAGAGGCACATGTGGGACAAAAGACTCCTAAAGTAAGAACTTGAATTTTTCACAATTACAACCCCGCAACGAATTAGAATACCACATAAAGTTGGCCCCTTGAGATCACTCTGAACGAGAGCGCTCAGCCCAGGTCGTGATGAGGTCAAAATTTTGCCCCGAATCGCCAGCCAGAAACCGAAGGGTTGAGAAGTTACTAGCTGGAACGCACTGCTCAATGCACCTGCATTAGCGTTTACCTTTTCTTTTTTTTTTCTTTAGCGAACGTCAAAGTTGCGCTGTGGAGCAACATGCCCCACTTCAGTAACTGGCCACTTTTAGGCGACGATACCTATGCGGCACCAAGAGCGGCTCACACTTTCGACGTTGCACAGGGGAACAACGATACGGCTTGCTACGGATTGACTCCTCACCGCTGAGCTCGATATCGTGTTCGATCACCGTCGTGTCTCCGGGGCGGTCCGAAAACACGTCTTCAAACTCGGAACCAATCTTTCTCAGGTCCGCTTTCTCAGGTCCTCCGTCACTTAAGCTAGGCTCTAGGTTCAGCTGTTCCCAGATTACTTTCGATCTCCCTTCGATCACCTCACTAGAACTCAAATTTTCTGCTCCCTCTTCCTCTGAAGCCTTCAACAGCTGATTTACGACCGCTTGATGTTGAACATTGGGTTTCATCAAGTTGTAAATTTTGTTCTGCCGCCTTCCTACTTGCACCTCATAAGTTGTATCGCAAGGCTTCGATAATACTGTGGCGGGCCCTTCCCAATCAACCTCAAGCTTGTTCCTTTTGGGTGGCTGCAGCCGCATTACCTGATTATCAACTTCAAAAGCGCGCTTCTTCCCCGATTTCTCGTAGTGCTCCTTCGACAGCACTTTTGCCGCGTTTTTCTGGCTTTCCACTCGCGCTTCAATTTGGCTTTCCACTAGCGCTTCAATCGAGAGATCCTCACGCTGCCCTCGAATGAGCGTCTCTCGATCAACTCTCGGCAGCTCGCTCCAACTTTCCGCTACAGGCGAGAGCGTTGCAACCCTCTCGCTCTGACTCAATGGCGCCACGTCGTCTCCCCCAGCGCATACCGCGCCGGCCGCTCCCGCGACGGGCCGCTCGCGTGACTGCTCACATGACTCATGCGGAAACTTTCCTTTCTGGGGTTCCGTCGACCCGCCGACAAGGTCACTTGAGAGTTCACCGCATGGAACCAAGTCAAGCTTCCGCGAAAGCTTTCGCGCTTGCGATCGCGTGGGAGCCATGCACGCTAAGTTGGGGAAGAACGATTTGCCCTGCTCTTTGAGAAGCTGCTCCGAGTTGTTGGAGAAAAGATAAGAAAAACGACCATTCAGCGCGGCAGACACAGCCGCTTCGGTGCAAAGCTTACCGAACGGGCCTTCAATGACAACGGTGGCGATTGGTAAGCGAACACTCTGCTCCTCGGCGACTTGCCTGATCCACGCGCATTCTCCTGTGAAGTCATCCGGAGACACCAATGAAGGATGGACAACGTCCATGGTTGCCGCTGAGTCTCTAAGTGCTCGGCACGTTTTCTCATTGACCCTAATTTCTTGGAGATACGGCTCCAGCAACCGCATGTTTTTTTCTGATTCTCGGATCGTTGCGAAGGCAAACTTTTCCTGACAGTTTCTCGCGATGTGCCCTTCCTTTTTACAGTTGTAGCAGATTAGCGGCTTCCGTTTGTTTTCCGATTCAAATGCCTGTGTGGTAGAAACCTCACTCGATTTCTCCGCTTCTGCTTGCCCTTCCCCTACACTGTCCTTAGTAAGAGATGGGTCCTTTTTGAAATTACGGTGCGGAACGGGTTTCCGTTGATCAGGTTTCCTTGAAAAGCCCTCTTTTCTCTCATCTTTTTCAACGCGCACTGCCCTGCTATGCAACTTTCGGCGAGTATAATACTCCTCAGCTAACTCAGCTGCCTTATTTAACTGTACTTCCCCAAGTCTGTCCTGCAGCCAAAGTTTAACATCCTCCTCGATGCAGCGGTAGAATTGCTCCAATGCAACGCATTCCACCACTTTATCGCGGTCGTCATAAACACCTTCGCCCTTGAGCCATTCAATTAAATCGGCTTTAAGACGAAACGCGAAGTCAACGTGTGACTCATTCCCCTTTTCAGCATACCGGAACCTTTGCCTGAAAGCCTCGGGTGACAACTTATAACGTCTCAAGAGCACTTCCTTAACCTCGTCATAGCTCTCAAACGCTTCCCTAGACAAGCAAGTTATCGCGTCGGACACTTCGCCGGGAAGAAGAGCTAACAGGTTCTGCGCCCAAAGAGACCGCTCCAAAGCGTTTCGCTCACAGACGTGTTCAAACTTGACGAGATACTTCGCTATGTCCTCGCCTACTACGAACGGTGGCAGTTGGTCCCGAATTCTAAAACCGCTGACCTGAGAAGCTACGCTAGGCGCCTGCGAACACTGTAGGATTGCCAATTCTAGTCGTTTCAACTCGAGACGCTCCTGTCTCTCGGCCTCCTCGCGACGTTCGCGCCTTTCAGCTTCTTCACGTTCGCGAGCTTCGCGCCTTTCAGCTTCTTCGCGAGCTTCGCGCCTTTCAGCTTCTTCACGAGCTTCTCGCCTTTCAGCCTCCTCACGTTCGCGAGCTTCTACTTCTCGCCTTTCAGCCTCCTCACGGCGTGCTTTAATATCCACCCAGGCCTCATCGACTTCCTCAGCCGACACTCCCTCATCCTTCATGATCTCAAGGATCGCTTGCTTTCGTTTCGCACGGCCCAAAGTAATGCCGAGTTCCTCACAAATTTCGATGAGTTCCTTCACTTTAAGGTTCTCCATCATTCACGCTAGCCTCTTGCTGTTTGCCCCTGTTAAAAATCTACTTGCCGTACCCACTATAAGCCTACTAGCAAGACGCGCAAGCAATTTTTCACACTCCCGTGTTTACCCCCTCCGCATTAACTTTGGTTTCAAAGCGCTTCAACTTGGCTTGAAACGATCAAAGCTCACTTCAATGCTTCACACAGCCCTTCTCTAAACTACTACAACCTGAGCTAGAGTAGTCTGGTGAACTGAGGGGAAAACATCAGGCACTCACCGCATCGATGTCGCTGACGCCGGCCGATCCCGCAGCTGCCAACCACTGTTGAGAAAGCGGGCCTATCCCACCGCTGCCACCACTGTTGCGAAGGCCGGGCCTATCCCGCCGCTGACCTCCACTGTTGCGTAGCGCCGGGCCTATCCCGCCGCTGACCTCCACTGTTGAGAACGACGGACCGATCCCGCCGAAGCCACCACTGTTGCGAAAGACGGCGACGCCAACACGGCCCCGGAGGCGCCACTGCTTTCAACTCCGCCGGGAAGGTCACCAGCCGTTTGGTAGCGTATGTTTATCAGCTCGCGACTGCTTCTGCGCAGAGCTGATAAGACGAGCGGACGAGACGACGGTGAGTTAAACAAGGTTTATGTACAGCATATTTACAGAGGCGTTACAATTTCGGCACTGGGGCCGACAGAGACTCGAAGAGCCGAGCTCTTCTCCCTAACACATAGGTCAGTCTTTCACCTAAGACCGCTGACTCACACACATGTCGGCACTCCGACACGGGGACTCCTCTCCTAGGACCTCCGATCGCGCCGCGCCGCAGGGCTTCTTTTATTTACACCGGGTCCAACCAAAGTGTCCAATCAGAAGCGCCGCTGGTCGTCCGGGCAGATTCCGCCAATGGGGGTCGCCGCGCCATGCGTCAGACCACCAGGCACGAGAACGCCGGCTCGCTGTCACGTGCGCAACTGACTCACTGCACGTGGGCCAGAGGAGCGCCGCGCGTGTTCACGCCGTCGAGGTGATCGCGCCAGGCAGACTGCGGGCTGGCCTTGACCCAGATTGCCTTTTTCAGAGGCACGGTCGTTTGACGAGGACTCGCTGGCATAACAATGCATAAATGCCCACGCACCTAACCGCATATGAGTCCACTCGGCGGCCGATGCTGTCCCCGCCACTATCAGTCACATCATCAGTGTATACAGCAGGAATTGCGTGTACTTTACTCCTTTCATTTTCTGGGCACATGTCCGCCAAAAAAAAAAAAGTTTAATCTTAAACACGTTGACTGCTACCTTCGTCAACGTCACGACCACGTGAAAACAGATTCAAGCGCACATACAAACGCACGTGTGAGCATGCTTAAGGTGTAAATAAGCCCCCCTCCCCAGCCTTCCTACCAAAAAAAAAAAAAAAGTCTGGCTGCGTTCCCGCTCGTTGGCGATGTTTCCGTAGTTGTTTGTAAGCGATACGTCTACGCTTTAAGTGAGCGAAAGTTCGATACATATATCAATAAATATCTTCGTTTCGAGTTGTAATGGAACCCATGCTTTCTGGGATGCAAGCCACTAAGGGATTCTAGCACAGAGATGTGCTAGTGGCTGAAGCTTCTTTGAAAAAAAAAAATCCCTACAGAAACGCTCGTGCATTATACACGAACGTCGGGTATAATGTGTGCAGTGCGAGGAGACCCCTTGATCCATAGGCGTATCAGCCACAGGGACAAGGGGGGCGTGAACCCCCCACTGAGTAAATTTGGGGGGGGGGGGGCGTAGCCTCCCACTTTTGACCGTGGTCACTCGGGGCTGCACGCTGGGGAAATTAACAAGTATGAGGCGAAGTTTTTCGCCTAACCAGTAATCGCTCAATTAGGTTCTTACGGAAGAATGAAAATGTTGCGAGGCAATTCACACAGCCTATATATATATATATATATATATATATATATATATATATATATATATATATATATATATATATATATATATATATATATTGCTTTCTTATATATATACAGCCTTGATTTGTCAGGGGGCCGAAGCGTATAAACACATCAGGTGTCAAAACCTGTTAATTTCGCCACAAGTTGATCATTTATATGCCCATATATCGCAATGCGCTCACACATATTTAGTCATTTATCATCAGCAGCAGTAGTATGAACAAGGTGTACAGCTCCACGTGTTGCTTTGCGGATGCGTGGTCGGTACTTCACCGGTTCGCAGAAGGAAGAATTATGGCGTAGTGGCCACTTGACTAATGTACTTGCAATAGGCATTCTGGAACATTTTGAAACGGCCAATGTCAAGCGCACAGACATTCCTTTCTTTGCGGCATTGAGATGTCCACTGAGTGGCGAAGCTAGGATATCGTTTGAAAAGGCGATACGAGGAAGGCCCGATCTCGCTGTCATGTTCTACTTTGAATAGGAGGCTCAAGTGTCATTCATATATACAATAAATAGGACGCGGAGAACAAGTCGGGGACAGCATAAGGGGATCGTACGTAGTGTTACCGACGTACGATCTGTGGCTTGTGCGACTTGCATCGCACAAGCCAGATTTAGAAAAGCAACTGACGTTCCCCAGCAAGACGTGGTCTGAAAAAAAAAAACATAATCTGAAGGCAAAGAAAAATTACAACTATGGCCAATCCTTGGTGCCAACTATATGGTGGTCGTCTTAGATGCGTACAATTTAGCATGTTTCTTTCTTGATAGGTTCATAGTGGTCCTCGTGCTATTTTTGCTCACAGGTGGGCGTCAATTTAGAGTATTTACCTTCATTAGTTATTAGGTCACGTGAGCGCACACCACAAGTCAAGTACAGCACGCAACGTTGCGACCAGTGCAACCTTTCCTACCTTAACGACTGCCGGAATCAGTTGGCAAAAGTGGGGAACGTTATGCAGTCAGTTTCGTTGTGTAAACACGCGCAAGAGGACACTACTAATATATATATATATATATATATATATATATATATATATATATATATATATATATATATATATATATATATATATATATATATCACGGTAACAATTAGAGGTCCATATTAGTCGATCATTTCTCGAAGACAAAATAGGCAAGGCAATAGATGCCTAAAATTTTTTAGGGGGGTATTAAGTCTACCACCTATTTCTTGCCCCTATTCACCCCACTCGGGCATAAGTAACTGGCAGACTGTTTGTTTGCCTAGAGAGCCTTTAAAATGAGTGTTGCGCTGCGATTACGGGCTGATAATACCGGTATTAGAGGAGGGTTACATTTATGTTTCAGTAAGATTTCTAGTTGTTATGCTGACGAAATAATAATGTCCCTTTTTGCCATTTTCCCCACTGGACAGCCTTGAAGTCGGATAACATCGGCCCGTCCATCAAGTGCGCGAAGCAAATCTACAAACGACACGGATTCAATGCATGGTATGTATTCTTCTCTGTCAATGTTCCCACAGGGTTTGTATTATGACTAGTCATTATAATGACTTGATTACGTTGCCTAATTACCAGTGCGTTTCATGCTGCAAATGGGCTTTTGGAAAAACGCTGAATAAGAAAGCTTTATTCCTTAGGACTTGATGGATATGTCGAGTTTAACGTCCCAAATCCACCATATTATTATGAGAGATGCCGTAGTGGAGGGCTTCGGAAATTTCAACCACCTGGGGTTCTTTAACGTGCACCCAAATCTGGGCACACGGGCCAACAACATTTCCGCCTCCATCGGAAATGCAGCCGCCGCCGCCGGGATTCGATCCTGCGACCGGCGGGTCAGCAGCCGAGTACCTTAGCCATCGTGGCGGGGCTATTCCTTACAGGAGCGATAAAGGCCTCGTTTTATTGTCCTCAGTTCCATTAGAGCAGTCCGTTGGTCTTGGTAGTATTTACTAAAGTACAGAGTACAGAGTATTTTCTTTTGAACACTTTAAGAATAGTGCGCCTTAATATACGACATAAAAAGAAATGTAAATTTAAGGGTTCATTTTCTCAATAATAATGAGAACTACCGGACAATGATGCCAATAAAAGTGCAGGGGATGCTATTAGAAGTAATTGTAATGTAAATGTGAAGTGAGAAAAGTGTACAAAAAGATAACTTGCCACTGGTAGGATCCGAACCTGCGACCTTCGAATAACGCGTCCGATGCTGAGCTACCATGGCGGTAATAGTGGTCTGAATATTTTCTCACTTGTGCCTTCGTCCTCTCTCGCAGTTTAAGAAATTTTTCAGCAATAAACCAATCAGCCCTGCTGTCATAACAATTAGTGAAGTCATGCCACCGTGCACTTTTATAGGGTATATACGTTCATTAAACATGGCAGCGTCAATCAGCGCAGCCAATAGCCATTAGTGCGACTGTGGAACACTTTTTTTTTTTGGCTGTTGGCGTCACGTAGCACGTGATGTTACTACGTGTTGGCAGCTGAACAATAATCCATCGCGTACTACCCGATTCATCAGCTGCCAGCTCATAATATGATCACATGCTGCATGACGCATATGGACAAAAAAAGAGAAAAGCGTTCCACTGTGGCCCTAATGAATATACTGGCGGTACTAACAAGCGCTCTCACGTTTAATGCATGTACATGCCCTATAACGTGGATGGGAAAATGACCGCCGCCGTATAGTTCAGCGATATGGCATCGGACGCGTTATTCGAAGTCTTGACTTCTTCACATATATATTACAATTACTTCTACATCCCTCATACTTTCCTTGGCATCATTTTCTGTTAGTTACAATTATTATACAAAAAATGTAATTCATCTATGTTTATGACACCCCGTGAGATGTAAATAACTACTGCAAAAGAAAATGAAGGCCGCACATCAATTTCTTCCTCTCCGTCAGCTATGTCTACAGGTTTTCAATGCATTACGCTATAGGTTTTCAATGCATTATGCCATGGGACCATAGCACGGCCCATCCCAATTCCGGAAGGCAACGAAAACACTGTTGCGTTTTCTCAAAGACACCGGCCTGTTCATCGTTTGTGATGTGAAACTGCTACGCGTCGGCCCAGTCAGGGACTTTTTCTCTTCTTCTCTTTCCTTCCCCCTCTCTCCTTCCCCAGTGCAGGGTAGTCTACCCGGGCTCAGCCCTGGTTAACCTCCCAGCCTTTCTCCTTTTGTTCCCTCTCTCTCTACGCTTATCCATTATTAGCGAATTGTCCTTCAGTATATGTCCTAAAAGTTTTCAAGTTTATTCTTTGACTCCCTCAGAATGCGCAGCTTGTATTTCTTCCTTACCGAGATGTAATAATAATAATAATAATAATAATAATAATAATAATAATAATAATAATAATAATAATAATAATAATAATAATAATAATAATAATAATAATAATAATAATAATCCTGTGGCAGCTCTTGACGAGCTGTTGAGGGAACTTCCCGGCACACACTTTCCTTCGGTCCGTTCTGCCTTATAGCAAGCCTTGGAATTACTAGATAATATGTGTAGTCCGTTATGTTTGCCACAGACCGTTATTTGAAAGCCTACAATTAATTATTTGATGGCAGAACTAGTGCTTAATATTAACTATGTTACTCTAGGGACACATCAGTTGTCAGATGCTGCCTGAACGTTCATCTAATTTTACGCTGTAAAAGATGTAATAAAAGAACGCTGTAACGTATAGTTACTAACGAAACTACACAGTCCTGTCTAGCTGTCAGAGTGCTTCGACTGGTTTCTTACTTGTCTACTTAGCTAATAAGCGATATGTTTACTTATCATTCACCAGGTACGGATGGAAGCGCAAGTGCAAGGGAAAGAAGCTCTCGTCCTACGTCAAGGGATGCCGGTATTGATCCGACGCATTGAACTGCTGCATAACTGGTGCTCGCCAGCTCTCGGGGAGAGTGCTATAAAGCTCGCATAACGGTAAAAGCGTGGCCACTTGAGTTCACCTTTTCAGCGATCAGCCATTCTCTCTTGGATTGCCCCAGCGTTCTGCGCCCTGGATTGAACTCCGGGACATCAAGCTTATTGATTAAAAAGTACGTTTATTCCAACGAGACCATTAGGACGCCATGTGAATGAGAAGTTAAAATAAATTTCTTTTTCCGTGGGCGTATCCAAGGGGAGGGGAATGTTGCGGGTTAAAACCCCCCAAATGTTTTCAATTTTGCTTGAGTATGTATACACGCACACATACGAACAAACACGCGAAGGTAAGTATAAATTAACACCCCCCAAGCATACAAAAACATTTCACACATACACGCATACAAAAACATTTTTGGCCACGCTACTGCTGTTTTCTAACGGTGGTCTGATTACTTCTGCAACACACTGTACAACGCTTTTAGCATACTGTACTATGTCTACATGTGCAACTGTACGTCTTCAGAAAACTGAAACAAACACCAAAACACAACAATAAACCGTCAGAGATGCGTTCGAAGCCGCAAGCCGCCAGACTAAATCGACGACCAGACGATACATGATGAAGATGCGTGCTACTCACAACCAATAATTAGAAAGGAAAGATTTCACACATATATATCATTTTGTAATACACCCGCAGGTTGCGGGTTCGAATCCCGGTTGCGGCGGCTGCATTTCCGATGGAGGCGGAAATGTTCTGGGCCCCTGTGGTCAGATTTGGGTGCACGTTAAAGAACCCCAGGTGGTCGAAATTTCCCGAGCCCTCCACTACGGCGTCTCTCATAATCATATGGTGGTTTTGGGACGTTAAACCCCACAAGTCAATCGATTTTGTCATGCATGCGCATAAACCAGGGGCAGATCCAGTCCACTCATTTTAGGGGTGGGGAGGCGGTCCCCTTAAGTAACATTGGAGAGGAGGGAAGGGGACGTGATCCCGACGTTTTTGTTTTTACTAGCAGAGGAACCCCAGGCCTTCATAACATAAATACTGGTAATGTGTCTGCTTCCAGGGCTTTCACTCATTTGTCCTAATAGGTGATAGGAGGTGGGCTGCAAGCACTGAAATGAAGTGCTGACTTCTGACACATACTTTGGGGGGTGAGGGGCGATAGCCCCCTACCTCCCCTTCTGGATCTGTCAATGGCCTTAACAAATAAACCAACACGTGCAATCGACCCGGTTGAGGTCCAGGCGAGCAATTCTCGCAGTGTGTTACTGGCAGAGCAAGTGGGATACACACACACAAAACAAACTACACATTATTAAGCCACACCTTGGTCATTGGCTGCCCGTATCGAAATCGCATCATACTGAGGTAATACTATCGAGACTCAGGATAGAGCACACATACACGACAAACACATATCTTTTGTCCGGTGGCGATCCACTATTGTGTGACAGATGTGGTGAAGCATTAACAGTCATTCACATGTTAATCCAGTGCAAACACTTAGAAACTCTAAGAAAACAACATTTTCCATTACCCTACCGACAACATATACTTTTACACCCTGCAATGTTCGTTGGTAGGGAACCGCTTTTTTAGTCATAAATCATTGTTAGCGTTTTTAAAAGAAATTCATAATTTTCATATCATGTACCCGGGCATTCCGTAGCACGACCTCCTCTCCAGAAAGGTTTTTGCTGCGGTGGCTACACAAGAAAGCACTTGCCTCACGGCCCTTGGACGCAAGGGTATGAACGAGTGAGGTACTTGTGCTAATGCCATACATGTCTACCATCTTTTTTCATTATCACCAACTTTTGTCACCTATTCACACCACACACACCTTTCACGGCATAGTCATGATTTTATTACTTGTATGTTTTTACCCGCCTTACTGCGAGGAATTTTATGGCCCTTATACAGCCGCTAATCACAATCATTGTCCAAATTTCTTGTCCCATGAACTGGCACTCTTTGGCCATCAAATGGCCCTTGCGCCAAAAAAACACCATATATCATCATCATATTCCCGCAGTGTCCGCTTGGACATTTCCATTTTGGTCTCCACTGATTGGCTGGAGCCCTGTAAGCAGCGCGCGCGCCACCTGTTCCCAGTTTTTTTTTCCCGCAACGTCATTCTGATTACGCCACGCAACAACCACAACTATTGACACAAATAAATACGGAATGCGTTTCGCAGCAACGAATGCTGCCCCCCCCCTCCCCCCACAGATCTGCAACTAGGTGCACATCTCGGAGGCTGCGTATGAACTCTATTCACGTTAGCCCTTGAATTATGTTTAACGTGTCAGCCCACTTGACACACCTGAAAGGTCAGTACGCATTCCCTGCATCGTTCTTCACAGACACCTTCATCTTCATGGACAACTTCACAGGCAAGTGCAGACTTGTCAACATTGTTCAAGAGTCTTATTGCGGTACATATCGTTCACTTTCTTTCTCCTTAAGCTGGGAATGTGCTGGCGGGTTCAGTGCGTCGACAGCGTCAGGATCGCCATGACGTAACGTTATGCTTAACGGAACGGGCTCCGGTGAAGTGGACATCGTGGAGCCGTGGACACAATGTTACATGCCCACTAAATGGACACCACGAGAATCGTGCCCCAGCGAACCGATGGACGGTTTGCTTATGAAAATGACCCCGCTGCGGTGGTCCAGTGGCTAAGAAACTCGGCTGCTGACCCGCAGGTCGTGGGATCGAATCCAGACGGCGGCGGCTGCATTTTCGATGGAAGCCAAAATGCTGTAGGCCCGTGTTCTCAGATTTGGAGGCACGTTAAAGAACCCCAAATGGTTGAAATTTCCGGAGTCCTCCACTACGGTATCTCACATAATCATATGATGGTTGGTTTTAGGACGTTAAACCTCATATATCTATATCTATATTAGTAAAATGAGAAAATCTAGCATGTGATGCTAAATTTTCAGACACAGCCACTTTGGAAAGCTCACTTTTTCAAGAGAATCGAGATCATTGCATAAGTGAAAAGTCTATCGCTTTGCTGGACCCCAAACTTTCATTTATGCGCCACCACCCGGTGGCGTAACGAGGGTGGGGCGAGTAAGGCCCCTGTAGGGGCGAGGAGGCGCAAGCTCCACTTTGGAGGGGACACCGAGCCGAGCCTCCTATATACGCTTGGAAGCTTCCTGAGGACCCAAATGGAGCATTTGTGCGCCGCGTCCGGTGAAAATGTCGCCCCCTGCAGGTTCAAAACCAGGGGGGCATGCCACCACACTGTTTCAACACCACCTTCCTCACTTCTCCCCAGGTACCGCCCGGAAAGTGAAAGACTCCTTTTACCAGTAAAGTGCCGATATTTTCTTTGAACAAACGAAACGAAATCTTCTGTGAGCCTTCTGGAAGGAAAGCTGTGGCTAATTGCGCCTGTCAATGGTGATAACTGGACGACACGCACTGTACCATCACAAAGGCTTGCTGCTGTTGGTGTTTCGTTTGAAGCTGATACTATATATCCGGGGACCTGTACAAAAAATTGCCCGCAGCTTCCCTCGGGGTAACACTGAGGAGGATGCGGACCATATAATTGGTTAACGGGGTGTTAAAGTGCGACTTACTTGGGTCGATGGCTAAATTGGTTAACGTGGTTGTGAAATGGGGTGTTAAATTGCGACTTACTTGGGTCGATGGCTAAATTGGTTAACGTGGTTGTAGGAGGGGGTGTTAAATGAGTGAACACGTACACACGTATGCGAAAGGGCGGCGCTGGTCGAAGGGACGTCGATCATTGTGTTTGTGGATTCGTTGGAATTCATTTCACCGCGACCTTGGACGTCGACGCGCCGTACAAACCAACCGACGAGCGGCAACTAAGCGAGCGAGTGCCGACCTTGAGTATATATACAGCACGACGGCGCATGCACTGTCAGCTGTTGAATGTTCTCGAAGCGCGACGCCACATGCGCGTCCACTGGAGAATCAGGAGAATTGTAGATGTCGAACGCGGTGTGTAGAGGAGGAAGGGTGCACAGATGGTGGAGGAGTGAAGCGCGCGCGGTGTGTAGAGGAGGAAGGGATGCACAGATGGTGGAAGAGTGGGCGACGGCGCGACGGCGCATGCGCGCGCGTCAGCTGTCGAATGTTCGAGAAGCGGTGCGGACGGCGCACTACAAGGCGCGAGTATAAGATGCTCCGCATCTAAAACATTCTTGTGTTTCTGTGGTCCCTTTATTCTTGATCTGGCTTGTCTTTGTGCACATGTATGCAAGTACAAATATATTTATAACATTATTGGCGTGTAGGGAAGTAGACCCATCCTAACCTCCTTCTAGCCTAATTGGCCACGGAACTTATTGCTTGAAATGTTCGTTTTCTTCTGGTTTGGAAACCACCTTTGTCCTTTAACACGTATACAACCCTAGTGAAAATTTGAAAAGAACAGCGCTGCCCATGGTCTTCTTGCTGAAGAGTTGCAATCGAGAAGCGCCTTACCAGACACGTCATTCTCCAAGCTTATACGGCGAGCTTTCATATGGGCAGACGTCATGATGAAAGAACGAAATGAAAAAAAAAATCTACGTAGAGGTGTTCCTGCAACGTTCCATTCTTATCGCTTTCAAATAAGAAACTCGTTCACATACTGCTTTCTTCCATCGAATTGCGTCACCTCTCCTCCCTTTTTCGGTTCGTAAGCAACATCCCCATTTTTCCCCAAGAAACTTGCCTAGGATGGGGTTGGTTATAAGGAATGACGTCCCCAAGTTTTTTTTTTTTTTAGAAGACTTTGAGGTGTCTGCGTCTTCACAAAGAGAGGGAGGTGTCACGTGTGAACTCACTGTCTACTCACCTAATTAAGGCACACAATGTCGCCTTTTCGGAAGTGCCTGCAGCAAAAACATTCTTGGGACTTCGGCTCATTGCCCCTTCTAAGCTACAGCTTTATCAGCCGTGCGTCTTGATGTTCGTTTTTCTTGAAGTAGAACTGTAAATGTGAAAATACATTCTGCTCTTTTGTATGCGCGGTGAAGTTTAATTGTGGCAGGCAGCCTCAGCGAAAACACTGGTCACGCTTTCCAAGCTCTTGTTTTCTCTAGATGCCAGTGCACATGAACTGGTTGGGAAACTCAGTCTAATTTGGGGGAAAACGCAAAGAAATAAAAGTGCTCTGGCCGCCCAGCGGCCCTTCTTCAGGGCAAGGTGGCATCACGTGATTGCGATGTAGCATATATCGAATGCAGCAACCGGGTCTCCAGTTGTG